CTTCCTTCCTTCCTTCCTTCCTTCCTTCCTTCCTTCCTTCCTTCCTTTCTTCCTTCCTTTTTTCCTTCCTTCTTTTCTTCCTTCCTTCATTACTAATCTATTTGAATAATTTACTATTTTTTTTTCACCTCCAATGGACATTGGATTGTAATATCATACCTTTGCCACAGATAGAACTATGTCTCTCTCTTCCTCAGTAAGCTTCAGTGACTCTTAATGGCCTCTAGTATCAACTGCAAACTCCTGTTTAGCAGTTAAATCCCTTTACAACCTATTTCCCACCTATCTGGCACATCATTTTACTCCCCTAGTTCAGCCAGATTATCTGGCCTTTTCACTGCTATTCACTGTGAATAATATGTGACATTTCCAATTCTTCTCCTCCCCATGCTTTTGTCCAGCTCCTCATTCTTCCCCCATCTTCTGGAATCCTTAATTTATCAACTCAGATACTACCTCTTACATGAAGCCTTTTCCTGATTCCCCCTCCTCCTCTCAATTACTTGTTAATTGTATTTACTTAGGGTGTGTGTGTGTGTGTACATGTGTATACATGTTGTCCTTCCTGTTAGAATGTAATCTCCTTGTAGGCAGGGATGGTTCCATTTATTTTCCCTTTCTATCCCAGCACCTAGCACTATTACTAGTATATAACAGGCTCTTAACAAATGCTTGTTTATGGGTTTTTGAATAGTTGTGGTCTTGACTAGCAGAGAGAACACCTGTATCAATGAAGCCACTGCTCCTTAAAGCATTCGAGCATGCCACACTTTACTAAGACAGAAAAGTAGATGAATACATTTGAGAAGTGTGTCCAATAATAAGAATTGAAATAGGCAGAGCTTTCTGACCAACTTTTCGCTTCATCAGAGTATGCAGTTAGATAGAGAAGGTCTTACTGCTGCTCCTTTAAAAAAGTGCAGTACATAAGGACACGCACTTTGGCGTTGTTCAGTCGTGTCCAGCTCTTCATGACCCTATTTGGGGTTTTCTTGGTAAAGATATTGGAGTGGTTTTGCCATTTCCTTCTCCAGCTCATTTTACAGATAAGGAAACTGAGGCTAACGAGGTTAAGTGACTTACCCAGAGTCACACAGCTAGTAAGTATCTGAGGCCCGATTTGAACTCAAGAAGATGAGTTCCTGACTGCAGGATTGGCACTCTATCCACTGCACCACCTACCCACCCTAAGAACACTTACTAGCATACCATGTGTTAAATTTATTCTTGCCAGTTTAGTTAATTTCTTTGATTGGAAAAGACAACTTCTGATTGTTTAATGGATAGGTATTCATTCATTTTTCTCCCTAAGGAAATGTTAACATTTCCCTCACTAGTTCTCTTCAAACTTTTCAGAATGCCTTTCTCCCCTCCTAATTCTGGTATTGCTGCTGTAATAATGATTTTGATTTTTGCATTTGGGTCAGAATAAGGGAGTTCATTCTGAACTATTTTGCCCACAGGAATTCAGCTGAAAAAGGTGCAAGAACAGCGAGAACAAGAAGCGAAACGTGAGCCTGTGGGAAATGACGTGGCGACGATCCTCTCCAGACGTATCGCTGTGGAGTACAGCGATTCTGATGACGACTCGGAGTTTGATGATAATGACTGGTCAGACTGAGGCTCCCTTCATTAGCACACCACATGGGGCAGCTAATTGAAATTGATGACACCGTTGGCCCACAAGCAAGGCAGTGTGTTGAAAATTTGTAGTGGCCTCAGTGCTCACGTAATGCTATTATAACATCGGAGCTTAGCAACTTTTGTATTAATAATGTGATTACGCTTTCTGCACATCCAAAAATTCCAGGCTTTTTTTTCTCTCAGTATTTACTGTGTAATATTTAAGTGCCACTAAACATAGCAAATCATGTGCTTCACACAAGAAAATATGCTGTTGTTGTTGCACTTTTATGGAGCAAGCCTTTTGTTTCCCTCCTGGCCAGGGAAGGAGTTTTATTTCATGTTCATTGTTCAGTATGACTCTGCTGACTTGAATTCTATTTGTGAAGCTGCCTAGTTGTGAGATTGTTGCAAAATTCACAGCTTCATGTCAGAGTGACTGTCTTCAGATCGGTCAGACAATTTGTTGCTTTGCTTTTAGTGTATGCTTCTGAATTTGGCGCAAGGGGAGAAAAATTACCAAGTGAACAGAAACAAAATCTCTTAACATGCTTGTGTGCTTAATTTCTTGGTTTAGTAGCCTGTGTGTGAACTTGAATGTTTTCTCCCGGAATACGATTTCCTCTGCATACTCTTCCACTGTTCCTCAGAAATCACCAGGAACTGTACATTTCAAAGGCCCATCATTAAGAGGGATTCCACAATGATTTTCCCTCACCCTGTGGGCACTCAGTGAATGCAGTTCATGATCTTTACAAAGGACTCCAGAACCTCGATTCTGGTAATAGTGAAAGAGGGAGACTTTCTACTTGGGGGGTTGCCAATGGATGTCTGTTGAGTTTTGACAGTGGTTAATTAATGGTACCTCTTCAGAGATTGCCTAAGATCATTTGAGAATCTTGAGTTTTTAGTGAATGAATCACAAAAAAACAGGTCTAAGAAGCCAGAGTTTATATAAAACTTACAATTAGTATATTCCCACTTTTAGTGGTTCTGTCTAGAGGCAGAGATAAACCACACTGTTGGTATCCTGGAAGCACACAATTTCTAATGCAGTTAGCTTTGGGCACATAAAGCAGAAATGTACCTCACTAAGTTTTCTTCATCATCTTCGTAGATGGAGCATCTCACTAAACTCCCCACTTCATCATCCCATTTACTTTTCTCCTCTTCTGGCTACCATTTATATTTGTTTAGGCTTAAGATCCACAGAGACCAATGTTCCACCTTGAAATGATCCTTAGGAAATCCATCCATTAGAGCTTCTGTTTTTTAATTCTGGGTGAACAGTAACCACTTATTTAATCTAAGTTAATTCCCCATGCCCTGATTATAGTTTGTGAGACTACTGACTCACACTCTGCTCATATTAAAAAAAAAGTAAGACTGTAAAATTTTAAGATATACCTAGACGTACACATGTGTGTCTATATGTATATATACATACTTATGTATATATAAAATGTGTCATACCAGACTAACCCTATATATATTTTGTGAGGGTCTAGAACTGTGTTTTTAGTAGTATAAGGGATTTCTGCTAAGGAAATTACCTCTATCAATTTAGATCAGTCAACTATTCTGCAATTTATGGCTTTAGAGAGTTGTTTGGGGCACTTAGTTGGGTAAGTCACTTTCCTGAGGTCACAGAGACAGTATGTGTCAGAAGTGAGACTTAAGCCCAGGTCTTCCTGACCCTAAGGCCATCTTTCTATCTAGTATTTCATGCTGCCTCTAAAATACTTACAACATTTAAAATGAACTCTTGAGTCTTTTGACGGCTACTGATAATTGTACTGAAAGGAAAAAGACTGAATTACATACACACACAAATACGCATGTACACACACAGAGTTCACAATAAAAAGGTAAACAGGAACATTAATGAATGAATCTGATCATCTTTCAGACTTGAGATATTAGCCCTCTGGCCTAAGGTATGTACATATGATAGGAAGATAGATAGTTACCTTGGGGCCCATGGGTGTAGTCTCATAATGCCATTGCTTTGGGTTTTGATGAGCACAAACATTCAGACTCTTAGCAATTTGGTATTTGTCTCCTTTATAGGATTATAGTAGACCCTTGTACCTGTTCATTTGGGTCTCCTTAATAATACTTGACTAGATGTTAACTCCTTGGCTTTCTATACTTAGAGTTTATTCTAAAAAGTGGGGATTCTTAGTTTTTATTATTTCCTTTCCCTGTCCTCCTTCTGAATAGAGTTGGTTGTTAATTAATGAATTTTAAAATTCTCTCTGTGTTGAAGTCTCTTCTGCTGTATTAATTCCTGGGGCATTTCAGAGGGGTGGGGTGGGAGAGGGAATCTTTCTTATCTGATTAGGATTATAATCTTTGTACCAGAAGAAATCTATGTAATTCTAGGCCTATTATTTGGTAAATTTCCTTGTTTCCTAAGAACCTTCTGTTCTCAGGAGGAAAAGGGCACATTACAATACCTCCCCCAGCCCCCAGCCCATTCATGGTTTTTCTCTTCTTTCTATTTATATCTTATCACTACAAAAAATCAAAATTGGTCCCCCCATAATTATCCACATGCTTAATTATTAGCTGTCTACTTATAGTGTAATCCACAAGTTATTTTCATCCTCCTGAATTTGTTACTACAGTATTTAAAAAAAGATTTTGCTCTGATCTATTTGTGCTTCTTTTAAAAGGATATTGTTAGGTGGTTTAATTCTAGGTTGTGTTGAGGTATTTTCTTCACAAAAAATGTTTCATTCTAAAATCTCATTCCAGATTGCCATTTCAACTTCATGCTAATACAAGGAAAAAGGAAGTTCTTTTAAATTTTCATTTCCTTTGTCCAAATTAAAGTAAAGTAGAGTGAGGGCATGGAGAAGGAGCTCATGACAAGTAAATTTTGTTTCTAATATTTTAACTTTTTCGAAGTTAAACAATATATAGTAACTTGGGTCACTGGACAAAAAATTGTTTATAATCAGTATCTCAGACTGTTAACTTTTGATTTGTCTTTAATTGTTTAAGTTGTTATAAGGTCATTAACCTGTTGTAATTGTACATTGGATAGTATTAGTTTTAGACAAAAGGGATGGAAATTATGAAGTAATTGAATGTGAAAAGTTACCACAGATACCTAGTTAAATAACTCAAATAGCAAGAAAGCAATTGACTTTGCAGTATCATCCCAAGGCAACCCATGAATAGGAAGGCTTGGCACATATTGTTATTATCATTTTCTAAGAAAAGATCATGCTAGAGAATTCCATACTTTTAAGTGAACTATGCTAATAGTTACTTTTTATTTCAGTGAAATTTATAACACCAGAAACTTTATGAGCACCTCACTGATGTGTTGTGAAAATTTTGTACTTATTTGCATCTGTTGTTAATGATAAACTTAAAATAAGTCATATATTGTAACCCGTTAACGACTAGTGGGATGTACACCAGAGTAGCCAAGAATTTTTTTTTCCCTAAAATTGGAGTATTTTGTCATCTCCTTTCAGTATTTTGCCACAATTATTGTAAATTGAATTAAAGTAGTATAAACAGACTTACTCTTATTAGACCATTTTTATCTGTTTGTATATCTTAATATAGATTATGTATGAGTAAAAAAATTCAAATAAAATTCCACTTTTGACCCTTTAGGCTTTTGCTTTTTCATAGTAGAGCTGTGTGTTTGCTGTAACTGTAATTCGACTTTTACTTTATTAGATAACAGGAGATTTCTATCATTAATTGCATTTAAATTTCTATAAATACTCTAAAATATTAGAGTATTCGAGCAAATTTCAGAAATCTTAATGGAAGAGCTGGCACATCACAAGGTCACAGGATGCAGAGTTAGCAAGGATCTTAGAGGTCATCTGGTACAACTTCATAGAGGCTCAGTGACTTGCCCCAAGGTCACAGGTAGCAAGTGGCAGAGCCAGGCTATGAACCCAGAATCTATCTCCCAATCTACCTTCCACTCTATCACAATACTTGTGCTTAGCCTTGAAGAAAGATAAACAATATGTTAGTAGGTGGAGGTGGGAGGAGAAGGAAAGGGCATTTTAGGCAAAGGAAGAAGCCTGGGTGAAAGTACAAAGGTGAACATGTGATGTTCACAGAGGCAGTGAGGCAACCAGCCTGCCTAGTGCAGAAGAGGACCTGTTTGGGCATTGAGCAAAGTAAGTTTAGAAAAGCAAAGTTTATATAAATTGGATAGAGCCTTCAAAGATTAGAGATTGTAGAGAACCTCTAAAAGCTGTCAGAAGAGTTTCAATTTAACCTTGTAGGCTATAGGAAGACTAAAAATATTCAAACTCAACACAAACTTATTGAGCACCTACTTTGTGCAGGGCAGGTAGGTGGCATGGTGCATAGAGTGCTGGACCTGCAGTCAGGAAGACTGGCCTCAGATACTAACTAGCTGTGTGACACTGGGCAAGTCATTTAACCCTGGTTTACCTTAGTTTCCTCATCTGAAAAATGAGCTGGAGAAGGAAATGGCAAACCACTCCCAATATCTTTGCCAAGAGAACACCAATTGGCTTGGACGTGACAGCAACAAAAATTGTGCAGGGTATTGTTAGGCAAGCAAAATGAGCAGAAACAAGAGAACATTGGTATACAGTAAGAACAATATTGTTTTAAGAACAACTTTGAGCAACTAAGTCATTTTGACTACTACAAATACCCAAATACCCAAAACTGTAAAGGACACATGAAAGAAGACACTCTCTGCATATCTGCACTCAAAGAAAGAACTGATAAATAGAAATATGTATAGAATGGTTTTACATATATGTATGTATGTATGTATGTATGTATACACGCATATTAGTGTCTAATGGTAGCCATCTCAAGGGCAGGGGTGGAGGCAGGGAAAAAAAGGAAGCAAAAAAAAGTTACATTATTATACATTTGAAAGGAATAGCAAATACATTATAGATTTGCAGTTTCATGTACAATCATCTTTTTTTCTATTCTACCACATTATGGAAATGCTTGTTTTATTTCATAAGTTCAAAATAAAATAAAATAAGTCATGGGACCTACCCTCAAAAAGCTTACAATCTAACAATGGGCAAAAGACAGGTACACCAGGGACTACCATATAAGGCAGAAGAAAAGTACAAAGGTACAGTGCTATAAGGAATTTAAAATAAGACAGAGATATATCACTTTGAGCTAGGAAGACCAGGGAAGGCTTTCTAGAAGTGACAGCATCAGAGCTGGGCCTTGAAGGGAAGGATTTTATCAGGTAAAATTGGTGGCAGCACAAGGCAGGAGGGAGGGATGGCACGGACAAAGGCACAGAGAAAGGAGGACATAAGATGAGAATAACATAATTTGGCTGATTCTCTGTTCAGTTGTGGGGAGGTAAGAGAGGGTAGTATTAAAAAAACCAACTAGAAAGAAGATTCTGGAATCATACAAGTGACTATAAGTTCCACTAAGTTCAGATTTGACTATACATAAATAAGTATACATATACATATGTGTATATTTACATATATGTATATATGTGTTTATACACACATACACTGTCAAAGTTTATATGGAAAACCTTCTACCCAAATTCCCATCCAAGAATTGCCACTCCAGAATAGAACAGTCATCAAAGTTGTAAGCAGTGAATTTCAAGGATTCCAGAATAATTTTTACTCTTCTGATAAAGTCCGGTCTAGATTCTATTTATTGGTTAGTCAGAGTCAATAAACATTTATTAAGTGCCTTCCATGTGCCAGGCACTGTGCTAAGGTACCAAGAAAGACATAAGACAGTCTCTGCCCTTAAAGAGATTATGGTTTAATGGGGGAGACAACACATAAAAAGAAACTGAAAAGTGGGGACATGATGAAGTCATGGGAAATGATTTGTGGAAATGTGAGTTTCTGAGCTGATTTAATCATGCAGAATGATAAGTTTCTGGAGGTGACCAAGTTTGTGTGTGTGGGGGCAGGGAAGAGGTGATGATGATGATGAGACCTCCCTGGGTGTCTTCTTAAATGGAGGAGGATCAGAGAGGAGCTCCTACATGTTCACCTACCAGGGTTAGTCCCAGGGTTTTGTTGTTCAATCATTTTCAATCATGTCTAACTCTTCCTGGCCCCATTTGAGTTTTCCTGGAAAAGATACTGGAGTGGTTTGCCATTTCCTTCTCCAGCTCATTTTACAGATGAGGAAAATGAGGCAAACAGGGTTAAGTGACTTGCCCAGGGTCCAACTAGTAAATGTTTGAGTCTGGATTTGAATTCAGGAAGATGAGTCTTCCTGACTCCAGGCCCAGTGCTCTATCTACTGTACCACCAAGCTGCCTGCATGGGTCTTATCAGGTTGACAAAAAAAGAGCTTCCCAAAGAGCTCAGGGCATCTTAACTACATATTATCCCTAACTATAAAACAGGAGAAGGCTAATATTAAAACCTGAACTGGAATAGCTACAAGCCGATAGGTAGAAGAAAGCTTTTCCAGTTCCTTTAGTACAATGGGGGTGGCTGTGGGTCATTGGGAAATGTTGGTGGCAGGCAGCTCTATTTGATTCCAGCACAATGTTGAGAATTGAGGTCAATCTTATTTTGGACAATGACTTTGGGAAGTCTACAATCCTTCAGATAAGTAAACTGCTTTATTCTGCCAATGACTGCAACTAGTAAAGGAACAAATACATGATTTGGAATGAGAAGACCTGGGTTCAAATCTTGACTCTATCACTTACTATCTATGTGACCCTAGGCAAGTGGCTTAACTTCTCTGGTCTTCATTTTCCACATGTGTGAAATGTGGAGGTTGGATTACCTGACCTCTATGTTCCCTTCTGGCTTCAAATCCTATTAATCTGGGTTTGAATACAGACCTAATCCCTTGTCTGTGCCATCTTTATATGTATTCAGTTTGAAAGAATGACCAGTCACTCATGGATCTTTCTAACTACACAGACATGTGCCTGAGAATGAAGAGGAAGCTAATAAGAGAACTGAGACTTCCTGACCTTCAGACCAGGGTTTCTGATGACTTCCCCATGCATGATGTTCTAAAAATAAGCCATCCTAACCTGACTGTTTATTAAAGTTTCAGAGCTTGTCTGGTTACTGCAACATTGAAGTGTATCCAAAGACTTTGAGAACATATTTAATGGTGTGGAGTAGCCTGCAGACTCATCTCAACGGATAATTAGATTATGAAGAAATTTGCCTACAAAGTACACCTTCTTCACAGAGCTGTCACCTGGCCATCTGTTTGCAAAAAATATAATAGCTTTCTGTGTCGAACATTTGCATATATGACATATCTAAGAATCCTGCTCTGCCTTCACCTAGTGCACTTATGACTGGGTAATTAGCTTGAAATACATCATCATGATTAGTAAGAGTTGGTGCATTGCTGGGTGAATTACCATGAAAAAAAAAAGACAGGAAATTCTGAGTTTTGAGAGTAATTTTAAAACATGCTAGGTGGTACTTACTATGTAAGTGACATCTGAAAACATTTAATATTCTAGGCAATGATTTGACTTTTCTATCCTAAAAAGCAATTTAAATAGAATTCAAGTAAATCTGAATTTTGTAGCCTCAGACTTCCTGAAAATCTAAGTATAGCTTGGCATTTAGGCTTAGAGGATGTTTCCTTCTGTGTGACACTCACTTGAAATGTACCTTCTGTATTTTGAAATCAGGATTTTAAGGTTTTCAGCCTCAAGTTTTTGCATCAATTTTCATTTTGAAATGTCTTCTTGAGTATCTCAAGGACTTAACAATGAATCTGATTTTTTCCCAAGTATACAAGTTTCAGCTTAGACTAGATTTTGGGGGTCTGATATAAAAAATAGCATATGATTTAAATTATTTAAATAGAAGACCAGTTATTCAAACCTAACTATTCACTTTAGTCTCTACCCTCAGCCACCCAAATTGGAAACAAAAGAAAATGGATAGAAGCTATGGCTGGTAGATGTTGAGAAGGCATCTGGGTAAAATTATATCAAGATGATTTACTGTTTCCCTTTGACATCAAGCCAGAATTATAGTAAAAGGTCCAAGTGCCCTGACTGAGACTGAATCGATTGGACATCTACTCAGTCCTCCATGGCCTCCCACAAGTTGACATTTGCCTTGACAAAGTGAGTGCCTCATTGGATAAATCTTATGGAATATTCTTCCTCCCTTATAGAATCATCTCAAGACTTCATAAATTTTTTAAAAAAATACTCTATTCCTGAGTTCAAATCTGATCTCAAACACTTATTAGCTGTGTGGTCCCTGGACTGTTTTTGCCTCAGTTTCCTCGTATGTAAAATGAGTTGGAGAAGGAAATGGCAAACCACTCCAGTATCTCTGCCAAGAAAACCCCAAAAGGGGGTCACCAAAAGTCAAATATGACTGAAATGATTGAACAACAAAAAACATCATGCCGAGTAAGTGCACAGGAAATGGATGCAGAGATGTCCACATATATCCCAAAGATGCTTTTCTTTCATTTTGAAAGAGATAATGTTTTTTTTTAAAAGCATTAGATGTGAGAATCAAAGGACCTCAGTTCTAGTCCCTTGCCTAAGGTCACACAACACAATTAGTTAGTGGAAGAGATGGAGATAGAACCAAAATCTCTTAT